GGCACAGAATCTGTTCTTATAGCACGTGATGAAATGACACGTGACACAGAATCAGTTCTTAGAGCACGTGATGAAGTGACACGTGACACAGAATCAGTTGTTAAAGCACGTGATGAAATGACACGTGACACAGAATCAGTTCTTAGAGCACGTGATAAAATGACACGTGACACAGAATCAGTTCTTAGAGCACGTGATGAAATGACACGTGACACAGAATCTTTCTTCTTCTTCTTCTATATCTCAAGGGCCCACGATCAATTTATTGATCATTTTGGCTCCTATGCATGTAGATGGGATTTGCAATGTTTCTGTTCCTGGTGTTGATGAGGAAATTTCACAGATTTCCAGTGCCACTTTGTGAGGGAATCATGCACTAGGGGGTTTGAAGGCTTGCGGCAATAGACACACATGTGTCTAATGTTGTCGCTTCAACGTTCCTTTTGAAAGATTGTTCCAGTCCCTGATTGTCTTGGGCAGGAATGAGCAGCTCCTATACTGGCTTCTTGCTGGTATGAGCCAGAATTGCCTGTCATGGCCTCGTCACTGTCTATGGGGGAGAGGGACGAGTTTTTGTTTAATACTGGATTAGTGGACCAGCCTATTATTTATCTTGTACATCATGGAGAGCCTGGATTGTCGTCGTGGTTCCTCCATTGGTGACCAGCCTAGTGTTTCTAGCATGCTGCCAACACTAGAGGTATTCCTGTAGTGGTTTAGGACAAAGAATCAGTTCTTATAGCACGTGATAAATGACACGTGGCACAGAATCTGTTCTTATAGCACGTGATGAAATGACACGTGGCACAGAATCAGTTCTTATAGCACGTGATGAAATGACACGTGGCACAAAATCATTTCTTATAGCACGTGATGAAATGAGACGTGGCACAGAATCAGTTCTTATAGCACGTGATGAAATGACACGTGGCACAGAATCTGTTCTTAGAGCACGTGATGAAATGACACGTGGCACAGAATCAGTTCTTAAAGCACGTGATGAAATGACACGTGGCACGGAATCAGTTCTTAGATCACGTGATGAAATGACACGTGGTACAGAATCTGTACTTATAGCACGTGATGAAATGACACATGGCACAGAATCTGTTCTTATAGCACGTGATGAAATGACACGTGGCACAGAATCTGTTCTTAGAGCACGTGATGAAATGACACGTGACACAGAATCTGTTCTTAGAGCACGTGATGAAATGACACGTGACACAGAATCAGTTCTTAAAACACGTGATGAAATGACACGTGACACAGAATCTGTTCTTAGAGCACGTGATGAAATGACACGTGACACAGAATCAGTTCTTAGAGCACGTGATGAAATGACACGTTATACAAGAAAACAAAATAAAAATTAAACTGCTGTGACGTCATTTAATATTTTCTCTCACTTTAATTTTTTTTTAAAAATGGAAACCTGTCTCCAATGACTCGATGACGTGCGCGTACGTTGATAGATTTAAAGCTGGCATCCAATGGGTATGTCTAGAATGATTTACAGTTTTGTGTGGTCGTGAAATTTTAGAAATATCCCATTGGGGCCGTGGAAGGCCCACAATTTCTATTTCTTTTCTTATATGAGCTGTATACAAAAATAAAACATAGAAAGCTTCCGGCTTGGATGGTCCTCAACCCATCTTAGTACAACGTCTCTTGTTTAAGGGTGGCCAACGCAAAAGACTTCGGCGGGCCACTTTGATAGCGTGTAAACCGTTAGCGGGCCGCATGCTATTAAACCGAGTACACTAATGAAATAACCGGCCGCAAAATGTTGTATCGCAATGTTGATCTCCTCTTAATGCACCCAACGAAATGACAAAGAACAGAACAGAACAACGTGGAACTACACTCACGTGATGGCATTTGATCTTTTTCTCGTCGAACTTAATTTTTTTTCAAAAATCCTTATACATTAACTTAATTTAACTTTGCTTTTGCTCGTGTGTTTCTGTGAAAAAGGCACAATCTTCGGACAGCTTATTGACCCACGTACCTTCATCCTATCGGGCTGAAAATTTTCACATACAATCTTCGTGCATTCTCTCAAATGTTCAGCCCCCCCCCCCCCCCCCCCCCCCCCCCCCCCAGGCTCCAAAACATCTATCGGTTTTTTTCTCCAGTTTTGGAAAATTGTTCATTACTATCGATTTCCTTGTCAACTGACTGAAAAACTAATAAGTTATTTGCGGTTAATTATTAATCGCTGTTTATGAGGTTAAAATTCGTCGTTGCGGGCCAAGGATTGCCACCGCTGATCTAAATGCTGGCTGAATGGTCTCTCTTGGGTAACGCAAGGGTTCTCAACCCGAGGCTTCTCAGGGGACAAGGAATACTAATATAACACGGTAGCCATTGTCTTTTAAGTTATGATAATATCGTGTTTATTTTGTACTTTCTTCATTTACATTTTAGTTTATGATCCTGGTTCCCAAACAATGGGCATTGACCTCAAAAGGGGCCATGAAGGATTATCTGTGTGATCACCGGCTGACTTTAAAAAAAAAAAATAAAAAAAATAAAAATTAAAGCAATTTCAAATTTTTAATCGCCATAAAATGTGAATGCTCACACTCTCTCCCACACATATCTGTTGTGAATGGATTTTCAACTTTTTTTTTCTTCAATATAGGCCTATATAAAAAAAAAAATAAAAACATAACGAAAAGAGAAGAGAGGTAGCAATGTAAATGTTGCCACAAATCAACAGTGACTAATGAAGCTTCGTGACGAGTTGCGATATTTCCAAAGTCCCATTAAATACGTCGTAAGATCAGATTTAAATTAATAAAAAAAACAAAACAACAACAACAAAAATATCATTTTTTATACTTTTATTTCCCCCCCCCCCAACCCCTCTTTAAATTTCTTGTTTATAAATGTATGGGGGTTGCTGGATCACTTTCAATCAGATTTAAATTAATAAAAAAAACAAAACAACAACAACAAAAATATCATTTTTTATACTTTTATTTCCCCCCCCCCAACCCCTCTTTAAATTTCTTGTTTATAAATGTATGGGGGTTGCTGGATCACTTTCCTTTTAGGATTGGCGACTCCGAAGTATACTAGTTTTAATATTCTAAGTTTCATATTTATCTTTGTCATTGTTTTCACCAAACTGAAACTCAGTCGTGGTTTTTTTTGTGGGTTTTTTTGTGTGTTTTTTTTAAGAAAATAAAAATTTCTTTTATTTTTATTGGGGGTTGGGGTTGGAGATTTTTACAAAACCAAGTCAATGAATTCGAAGGGATTCAGGATACAGACATTATTGGGACCCCCCTGATTTTGCTAATTATTGACATGCAGTTCTGATCGTGCGTGTTGGGTATATCTGTATTATGTGAGTTGACCAATCAAAACAACACCTTAATGTGCCGAGGACAGATAAACAAAATCATGGAGCAGGGGAAATAACCCATGTCTTCATTTAACCGTTTTGCTTACTAAAAAGTGAAAGAAGGTTGTCTACCATTACCGGTAATTAGAGTTAACCGGAAATGAGATGGTTTAAAAAAAATAAAATAATAAATTCCAAAATAAATGTAAACGTGTTTTGATTACATTTGACAAATTCACTTTTTAACATATCAAATAAAAAAACTTGACAGTCCCCATGTAAGTTCTTGTTTTAAATTAGGTTGCCCCAAGGTCAAGGTGTTAGGTAAACCATTATATGGCCAGGTGTGTGGTGGCGATTAGGCTACGTGGATATGTCTGGGGATAAGATGTTGCAATTGTTTGTTTGGGTACGAAATCCTTTTCTAATGCCTTCTGGACAATTTTAAACCAATGACCGTTAACAATACGAGTAAGAAAACTTCAGGTAAACACCTTTATTTCCAAACTTAAGAGTTGTGAATCCATTCATCCATCCGTCCATCCATCCATCCATCCACCCATCTAACTGATCTCTGCGTCGTATTCCGTCACACAAATAACTTCAGAGTATTTCATTTATTCCATATGGGATATGATTTCATGACAGAGTTATAGCTGTAATTAAAATATTTGACATTAAATATCAGGCACCGTTATGACGGTATGGGAGTTGTCATATGTCTTCTTGTTGCACCCTGTATGCGACACTATGTTAGGCACTGGTGTAAGATGCAATGATTTAAAGCAGACTTTTTTTTGGTCTCAGCAATTTTCGCCATTTGCATGTAGAGTTTTTAAGGTAAGAGCGGACCTCAAAGTCATCAGTGCAGAGGGTCTTAACGTCAAGTTGATTAATCATCTTTGAATTGATTGTCTGAAAATGTGGTCGCTGATAGAATATTAGTTTCTTACACAACTTTGCCCAAATTTTCCGTATCCCAGTAGCCTACATTGTTCATTGCACAGCTATATCCCAATAAATTGCTAATTACACAAATACATCCCAATACCTTGTTTATTTGCAAAACGAAATCCCATTATCTTGCTCTTTACAAAACTATCTCCCAATACATTGATCATTATAAAACAATATCCCAATACATTGTTAATTAAAAAACTACATCCCAATACATTGTTTATTACACAACTATATTCCAATACACTGCTCATTACACAACTATATCCCAATACATTACTCAATACAAAACTTTCTGTTTTAAAATGTCAAATCTCGACTTTTGACGTCTAAAATAACACTCACTTTCGTAAACAAAAGCGTACATGTTCTTACTTTAATACTAGAAATTTACTTCCATCAATATCATAAAATCGATTTCTTAACATCACTAACATACCACCACTATCATACTATCACTATAATACTATCACTACAAGAGGAAATAATACATTCAAAGAAGTCATCACCAATCAAATTATATGGACCATCAAGCAAACATGGTCCATCCATCTAAGATGGTCAACCTAGCAAACATGGTCCATCAAGCAAATATATTCGTCAGCAAACATGGCCAATCAAGCAAAATGGTCTCTTCAGCAAATATGTTCATCAAGCAAACATTGTCTATCAAGCAAACATGATCCCTCGAACAAACATGGTCCATCAAGCAAACATGATCCCTCGAACAAACATGGTCCATCAAGCAAACATGATCCATCGAACAAACATGGTCCATCAAGCAAACATGATCCCTCGAACAAACATGGTCCATCAAGCAAAGAACACCCACAGAAATAGACCAAACGCCATGAGGACCAGAGCATTGACGTTGACAAAGTGTCTCCAGAAACCTTTCTCTTCTATGGACGTCAGCAGCTTTTTCTGCTCTCGAATCTCTGCCTCGGTCAGTTGGCTATCAACAGGTGGCTCGTAACCACACAACAGGTAGAACAACTTGCGCCATCTCGAAGCAGTAGCTGGATCTGGGGATAAATCAGAGGTTGGGCGGAAAGGGCGTTAATTCTTTTGAACAAGATAAGATGAGGTTGTCTCCCTTTTATCCCGTTATTAAGGATTCATAGGTTCTCTACCTTAGATCGAATAAAAACATGTGCATGTCTCCAGATTAAATCATGATAAATTGCTCTTTATGTTGAGGGATGAGAATCACTGCTTGGTGGGATCTTGTTGTCAGTGTGACTTAAAGCATCTGACTTGTATTTCTATGTCTACTTGTCATTGATCGAGATATCTTGAGAAATAAACACGTGTGTGTGTGGGTGTGTGTGTCTATAAGGTGTGTGAGTGATACAATTGTTGGCTGCCAAGAGTTCACGGATATTTTAAACGAAGCGTGGACCTCAGTGGAAACAATGGAGAAGGCATTATTATAAACTGTTTGTCCCACAGATCCACTACAATCGCCAACCTGCTCTGGGGTTCTTCCGTTCCTGCTCCAAGCTCTGTGCGGCTTTGAGTTGTCGGACGTGCTCAGCAGGGAAGTCCTCCCTGTGTTTCTCACTGTGCCGTGTCCACCACGTTAAACGGATGGTCTGGGGGGAAAGAAACATCAAAGCACGAGTTGATAAGAACACGCTCCATGAAATCCTCTCACTCTGGGTGTCTTTTATTCAAGTTTTTAACAGAGCCAATGGACCCCTGATAAACCCATGATGGATCCCTAATTTGCCTTTAAATTACAATATAATACTAATAACCATAGCCGACAACTTACCCCCCCCCCCTTCCCACCCACTAAAAGATGATATTTATAAATTGTAAATATCTTTTGATTTCTTACGTGTTTCCGATCAATGGCGGGTGTTAACAAGGAGATGACGACGGTGGCAATGAAGCTAACAACGAAAAGAACGATGGTGAAGTGGAGAAAATGGACTTTGGAGATGATCACGGGGCGGAGGTCCACCTCGCCACATGCGGGGCTCCCGAAGCCAAAGTCGAGACCCATTCTGATGACCCCAACGGTCAAGCCAATCATAAGTCCCCAGAATGCACCCTGACATGGCAGAAAACATTTGTCGTTAAGGAATTCCTCAAAAGAATGAATGCACCTCATTGCGTCGCGGACTGTGATAAATGACTTAAATCAATTTTCAAATACAAGACTTATATTTAAGATAGATAAGGTAATTTATAAATTACAAGACTTATATCTCATAAGATCGATAAGATTATTTATGAAATAAAAGAGTTATATCTTATAAATAAGATAGATAAGATTATTTTTGAAATACAAGACTTATATCTTATAAGAGATTATAAAATTAGTTTTCAATGATTACACTGTACAAATCTTAAATATAAACATTAACGGTAAAAAAAAAAATTGATGATTTTAAAAATAACTAAAATCATTTAAACCAGGTCAATTTTAAGTTAGGACAGTTTCATAATATTTTTTCAAATACAGATCCAACCATCAATATCGACAAAACATGTTTTATAATGATCAAACTGACGACTTAATAACAAATTATAAATGTTCTGACCGATGGGGAGACATGCTGGTCAATCCTGACAGATTGGGGAACAAAAGAATTTCTGCATTTTTCGGTCCATACTTTGAAGCAAAAATTTCACATTGTGTACCTCTCTTATATATATATATATATATATATATATATATATATATATATATATATATATATATATATATATATTTTTGTGTATATACTTTATATAAAAATATTTATATTGTGTATCTCTCTTATATATATATATATATATATATATATATATATATATATATATATATATATATATATTATCTAACAGTGTTTGTTATGCCAGATATTTTAAGATTACGTTTGAACCAATGTACATGTATGTTGATAAAAATCATGATGATGATAGTGCATGAATGATAACAACATCAGATCGTACTTGCTCATTTGTGCGCTCCCACAGAACAGCCAGCAAGAACAAGGCTAAAATAGGGGGAGCGAAGTAGCCGGTCACGGTTTGAATGTAGTTGAAGAGTTGCCCCCCTTGCGAGGCCTGCAGCACAGGGATCCACAGGACGCTGAGTCCCATGAGGACAACGATGAATATCCTGAAACCAAAACGTTTTCATGTTGATGTTGTTAAGTCTGTTGGTGGAGGTGGTAGGGATGATGGTGGGGACGGTGGTAGTGGGGGTTATGATTGTGGTGGTGATAGTGGTGGTGGTAATGATGGTAATGTTGATGGTGGGGCTGATGTTGTGATGGGGATGGTGGTGATTGTGATGATGATGGTGGTGGTAGTGGTGGTGGTGATGTTAGTGGATGTGGTGGAGGTGTTATTATCTCATTAGCTGTGTGATGACTTAAACATAACTACAGTCCGTGTTCATGGCTTGGCCCAAGTGTTCAATGGCATCAGGCTTCAACTACTTACTGGACGTCACGAGGAACTCGTTACACTAACTTGATGATAATAATTATTACATTCCTACAGAAGTCACCAGCTGTCTTTTAACCCAAATGGTCACAGAAAGCTATCTATGGCCTCAAGAATGTCATCCAAATAATGGAGAAATTTGTCTATGGCCTCAAGAATGTCATCCAAATAATGGAGAAATTTGTCTATGGCCTCGAGAATGTCATCCAAATAATGGAGAAATTTGTCTATGGCCTCAAGAATGTCATCCAAATAATGGAGAAATTTGTCTATGGCCTCAAGAATGTCATCCAAATAATGGAGAAATTTGTCTATGGCCTCAAGAATGTCATCCAAATAATGGAGAAATTTGTCTATGGCCTCAAGAATGTCATCCAAATAATGGAGAAATTTGTCTATGGCCTCGAGAATGTCATCCAAATAATGGAGAAATTTGTCTATGGCCTCAAGAATGTCATCCAAATAATGGAGAAATTTGTCTATGGCCTCAAGAATGTCATCCAAATAATGGAGAAATTTGTCTATGGCCTCAAGAATGTCATCCAAATAATGGAGAAATTTGTCTATGGCCTCGAGAATGTCATCCAAATAATGGAGAAATTTGTCTATAGCCTCAAGAATGTCATCCATATAATGGAGAAATTTGTCTATGGCCTCGAGAATGTCATCCAAATAATGGAGGAATGTGTCTATGGCCTCAAGAATGTCATTCAAATAATGGAGGAATGTGTCTATGGCCTCAAGAATGTCATTCAAATAATGGAGAAATTTGTCTATGGCCTCGAGAATGTCATCCAAATAATGGAGGAATGTGTCTATGGCCTCAAGAATGTCATCCAAATAATGGAGGAATGTGTCTATGGCCTCAAGAATGTCATTAAAATAATGGAGGAATGTGTCTATGGCCTCAAGAATGTCATTCAAATAATGGAGAAATTTGTCTATGCCTCAAGAATGTCATCCAAATAATGGAGAAATGTGTCTATGGCCTCAAGAATGTCATTCAAATAATGGAGAAATTTGTCTATGGCCTCAAGAATGTCATCCAAATAATGGAGAAATTTGTCTATGGCCTCAAGAATGTCATTCAAATAATGGAGAAATTTGTCTATGGCCTCAAGAATGTGATTCAAATAATGGAGGAATGTGTCTATGGCCTCAAGAATGTCATTCAAATAATGTAGGAATGTGTCTATGGCCTCAAGAATGTCATTCAAATAATGGAGAAATTTGTCTATGGCCTCGAGAATGTCATCCAAATAATGGAGGAATGTGTCTATGGCCTCGAGAATGTCATCCAAATAATGGAGAAATTTGTCTATGGCCTCAAGAATGTCATTCAAATAATGGAGGAATGTGTTATGGCCTCAAGAATGTCATTCAAATAATGGAGAAATTTGTCTATGGCCTCAAGAATGTCATCCAAATAATGGAGAAATGTGTCTATGGCCTCAAGAATGTCATTCAAATAATGGAGAAATTTGTCTATTGCCTCGAGAATGTCATCCAAATAATGGAGAAATTTGTCTATGGCCTCAAGAATGTCATCCAAATGATGGAGCAATTTGTCTATGGCCTCGAGAATGTCATCCAGATAATGGAGAAATTTGTCTATGGCCTCAAGAATGTCATTCAAATAATGGAGAAATTTGTCTATGGCCTCAAGAATGTCATCCAAATAATGGAGGAATGTGTCTATGGCCTCAATAATGTCATTCAAATAATGGAGAAATTTGTCTATGGCCTCAAGAATGTCATCCAAATAATGGAGAAATTTGTCTATGGCCTCAAGAATGTCATTCAAATAATGGAGAAATTTGTCTATGGCCTCAAGAATGTCATCCAAATAATGGAGGAATGTGTCTATGGCCTCAAGAATGTCATTCAAATAATGGAGAAATTTGTCTATGGCCTCAAGAATGTCATCCAAATAATGGAGGAATGTGTCTATGGCCTCAAGAATGTCATTCAAATAATGGAGAAATTTGTCTATGGCCTCAAGAATGTCATCCAAATAATGGAGGAATGTGTCTATGCACTCAAGAATGTCATTCAAATAATGGAGAAATTTGTCTATGGCCTCAAGAATGTCATACAAATAATGGAGGAATGTGTCTATGGCCTCAAGAATGTCATCCAAATAATGGAGAAATTTGTCTATGGCCTCGAGAATGTCATCCAAATAATGGAGAAATTTGTCTATGGCCTCAAGAATGTCATTCAAATAATGGAGAAATTTGTCTATTGCCTCGAGAATGTCATCCAAATAATGGAGGAATGTGCCTATGGCCTCAAGAATGTCATTCAAATAATGGAGAAATTTGTCTATGGCCTCAAGAATGTCATCCAAATAATGGAGATATTTGTCTATGGCCTCGAGAATGTCATCCAAATAATGGAGAAATTTGTCTATGGCCTCAAGAATGTCATCCAAATAATGGAGAAATTTGTCTATGGCCTCGAGAATGTCATCCAAATAATGGAGGAATGTGTCTATGGCCTCAAGAATGTCATCCAAATAAATCTTTTATAAATACTTAATAATATTATTTTTTTAAACGACATCAATAACACACACACAAAGACTGATTGAGTTTTTAAATAACTTAAAATTAATACAATTCATTAAAAAAAATATTTTTTTTGCATTAAAATATGCTTCATCTTTTGTGACAGCCACTCTGTCATCAATATTCAAAGAACACATAAACGTAACATTGTATGTTCAATGTTTCATGATGCCAACAACAGTGTGTGGGATGATTTATTAATTTTACAGCTGAACGAAGAGAAACCCTGAACAGTTCCTGAATGTTTTAGTTCATTCACGTCTATAAATTGGTAAGAATCAGTGGCGTAGCTAGGGCTGGTGTCATCCGGTGCGTTCCGCACCCCCCCGAGCCCCCCCAGCTACGCCACTGGTCAGACTTACCTTCCGGTGACCAACATCTCCGCCTCTGACGCCTTCACGCGAAAACGCTTCCAGATGTCGATGGTGAAAATGGTGGCGGCGCTGTTGAAGTTGGAGGTCAAGGACGACATCAGAGCGGCGATCATGGAGGCCAGCATCAAACCTTTCAAACCTGGTCAGTAGCGATAGCACAGTAAGTAAAACATGATCATCCTTGAAAGATGCAAATAGTAATACACACACACACATTAATAGTACAATCTTGAAAGGCTCCTATAAATAGATAACATCTCGTAAATGTCTGGGAAAATTAGCAAAAGTATCCCTCGGCAGGGAAAGCTGATGGCTTATTTATAGGGGGTGAGTTGGAACATCAAAATAAAAATTATAGAAATTGCATCACCCGATATCATTCTTTAGAACAAATTAGAACGTTAAAAAAACGGAGCCAACCTTTTCCCAATCGGGGAAGGGGTGGGCATATTGGTACAGCGCTACTCATTTAATCGGTGACGTCAACAGGTAATAAATAAATTTATTATAAAAAAAAAATTGGGAGACAAGTGGTGTTTGCCTCATCTCTACGTTGAAGTAAAATTTGGTCAAGGCACGTTATAACAACTAGGTCAGTAAGGCTACCATCAGACCTGACCTGGCTAGCAACGCTACCATCAGACATGACCTGGCTAGCAACGCTATTATCAGACATATTGCCCACAAAGACGTTGACGTGAATAATGGTATCGGAGTGAAAATTTGGATTTCATTCTTACTGCATGGATTTGGTTCAACTCCCACAATTCAATATTTTTAGGGCAAAAAAAGCTATAGAATAGATTAGGGGTCGTTTATAAATTACGTCACGCTAAAAATGACCTTTTTTTTTAAAACCTCCTCCCCTTGTCACAAAGTGTCACAAATTCTTTACCCCCCCCCACCCCAGTGTCACGTCACACAAAAAAAATCAAAACATACATACAATTTTCATAACTAAACTAAGATTTTATTTTATTCTTTAACATTTTCCCATAATGGATTAAGATGTAGTATGATTAGAAAACTGTGACGTAAAACAACGAAGTGATCCCCGCGCCGAAATGTAAAATGGCCACAACAGTTTTTGCGTCATTTTTCCATATGCGCAGAAAGTGTGCACAACTGAGATTCACGGTACCTATGATACCTGAGGCAGTTTAGACCTCAAATTAATGTTTTTAATTATTTGAATAAAGATTTTTCAAAATTAGAAAATTTTAGATTTAAAAAAATGTAAAAATCGTGATGTCACAAATTTTGCCCCCCCCCCCATGTCACAAAGTGTCACAAATTCTGGACCTCCCTCTCCCCTGATCGTGACGTAATTTGCGAACGACCCCTAACAGCTTTCTAAATCAATATGGAACAGTTTTGCCTTAATCTTTGAGAGGAATTGTAAATGATAAAAAATCATTTAAGAAACAATTAAAAACTTTTTTTGTTTAAATAGATTTTGGAGGACCAGAGTGCAGTGAGCATGTTACAGTGGCATGGATACCGACGCGATATAAATATCAAAGCAATCAATAAATCAATATTTAATGCCAATTTTTGAAATCAATAATTATGAAATAACTAATGAATTTTTTTAACGATTTCATATTTTAACTTCTAATTAAAAAAAAATGAAATGCCAGCTAGTATTAGCGAAAATGAATCCACCAACAGGCTTTAGCACCAGCTGCTGATAGCAATGATGTACCCACCAACAGGAAGTAGCAGCAGCTGTTACTAGCAATGATATAACCACCAACTGGAGGTAGCCCAGACGGCTACTAGCATCTTCCAGTCTACAGGAAGTAGCCCCAGATGCTAATAGCGAGAATGTACCCACCAATAGGAAGTAGCAACAGATGCTACTTGCATCTACCAACCAACAGGAAGTAGCCCAAGACGCTACTAGCGAGGATGTACTCACCAGCAGGAGGTAGCCCCAGATGCTAGTAGCGAGGATTTACCCACTATCAGGAAGTAGCCCCAGATGCTATTAGCAAATATGTACCCACCAAAAGGAAGTATCCCCAGATGCTACTAGCCTCTACCAACCAACAGGAAGTAGCTCCAGATGCTACTAGCAAAGATGTACACAGCAACAGGACGTAGCCCCAGCTGCTACTAGAGAGTATGTACCCAACAGGATGTATCCCCAGCTGCTACTAGCAAATTTGTACCCACCAACAGGAAGTGGCCCCTAATGCTACTAGCAAAGATTTATTTACCCACCAACAGGAAGTGGCCCCCTAATGCTACTAGCAAAGATGTACACACCAACAGGAAGTAGCTCTATCACCAGCTTGGGGTAAGCAATGTTCGTGCACCCGGCCCTGTTGCTGCAGATCTTCTCACAGGTGTCAGGGTCTGTGCAGGCCACCTCATCTGAGGACGGTGTCAAGATCAAGTTCATAAATGACTCATTAAACTTTCCAAACAAGATGATAAGTAGCTTGGAACAAAGACACTTAAAACTTGCATTGTCTGTTACTATTTGTCAAATCAGCAATGTCGTATTCTCATGGGATGCATGAAAGGGACAAGTTGGGATTATAGGTTTTGTCTTAACTAGCGGTAGAACATCTCTGCATACACTAGTAAATAAAATAGCTCTTATACCAATGTAAGTACTAGTAAGGAACAGATCTTACACATCGTCGTGTTGATTCATGAGATCTCCACAAACCTGTGCCATTTTGATTCATTTTGTCAACTCAGTTAAATGACGTTATGTTTTAAAATAACTTATGATTGGGCTGCAACTGTCTCACTTCTACTATAACCTATGATTGGGTTGCAACTGTCTCACTTCTACTATAACTTATGATTGGGCTGCAACTGTCTCACTTCTACTATAACTTATGATTGGGCTGCAACTGTCTCACTTCTACTATAACTTATGATTGGGCTGCAACTGTCTCACTTCTACTATAACTTATGATTGGGTTGCAACTATCTCACTTCTACTATAAATTATGATTGGGCTACAACTGTCTCACTTCTACTATAATCTATGATTGGGCTGCAATTGCCTCACTTTCAAATATAACTAAAGATTGTGCTGATTGCGTCATATACTGAAATTTAACTTATCATTGGTAACCAGTGCCACAATATAATTAAATATATTTTTGTCTTGCTACTTAGTTTGCCTGGCAGCAGGAGTCAGTTTGACAAGGAAACAAAACTCAGTTTGACCAGGAAACAGGAGTCAGTTTGACCAGGAAACAAAACTCAATTTGACCAGGAAACAAAACTCAGTTTGAACTGGAAACAGAAGTCGAGTTTTACCTGGAAACAGAAGACGAGTTTTACCTGGAAACAGAACTCAAGTTTTACCTGGAAACAGAACTCAAGTTTTACCTGGAAACAGAACTCAAGTTTTACCTGGAAACAGAATTCAAGTTTTATCTGGAAACAGAATTCAAGTTTTACCTGGAAACAGAAGTCGAGTTTTACCTGGAAACAGAACTCAAGTTTTACCTGGAAACAGAATTCAAGTTTTATCTGGAAACAGAAGTCGAGCTTTACCCTGGAAACAGAAGTCGAGTTTTACTTGGAAACAGAACTCGAGTTTTACCTGGAAAAAGAAGTCAAGTTTTACCTGGAAACAGAAGTTTTACCTGGAAACAGAATTCAAGTTTTACCTGTAAACAGAAGTCGTGTTTTACCTGGAAACAGAAGTCGAGTTTTACCTGGAAACAGAACTCGGCTGATCATCCCCGGGAACACCGTTGTAAAAAGAGGCAGCACCTTCAAGTAGGCTGCCAGGATGGATCCACCTTTGACGTGATGCATGTTCTTGGCCGCCAGGGTGCGTTGGACTAAAACCTGGTAGTGTCCAATCAAGACATTTTTTTAAAGTTAAAGTGTTCAAAAAGGTTTTTGGTCACAAAAAAGGACTGCTAACCTCATAAGGAATGTTAACCTCATAAGGAATGTTAAACGACAAACAAAACAATAAGGATAAGAGTAAATTTTGCTTTTATTTACAATTTAAATAGTTCATAATTTTACAAATACACAAAATAAAATTTAAAAAAAGAAGAAAAAAAGGAAAAACCACTAATATTGTGTTGCAAATAAAGTTATGAGTTTTTTATGTTCTTTTTAAACTGGTCATTACAAAAAAAATAATTTGATACAAATGCTATTTAGGGTGTACTTTGAAAGCAAGTTAATTGCCAATATATAGCATTTAGTTTTTATTAACAATTTGGTAGGGGCATCATGATTCCCCTAGAGCGTAAGACCTTAGGCGGCAAGTACCCAGTATGTCCATGCCTTAAGGCGGTACTGCTTTCAGGAAGCCAACGCCAATAGTGACGTAGTATAGTCGCAATAATAAGACTGCACTAGAGCATGTGGCTGTAACATGAGAGGGAAACCCGGATATACCGGATTATCTGTTCTTGGCGTAGTAAAATGTCTGCGTCATCGTTCTCTTTTGCTTTATAAAAGTCCACAGTGCCAATAAACTTGAGAAATTGATGACGTCATTGTTATATATTCATCTAGGTCTCAGTAAAAATCTAGAAACCCTACAAAAAATGTTATTTTAAAATATATCCTTATCTTTAAACTCCGGAGCAAAAATCTAGTAGTAAGACTCCGCTTGTTCTGGTCTCAAAAAATCAAACATAATTAAAAAATGTGTTTCACTAACCTGGTCATTACAGAAATACCAGCTGCTAAGAATAGTTATTCCAAATACGTTTCCTGGCCAAGGAAGGTCGGAGGCGTCTGCTGACCTCAGCAGGTGGAATGCCTGGGACGTGGGGATACCACACTGACTGTCGCCATGAACAAAGTGGACAGAGTAGGGTGAGAGATTACTTAAGCTGCTTACTGTTGGAATGAGTTAAAAAACATGAAAACATCGATACTTTAAAGGTTAAATAGTGAAATTCATATTACGAGCAGGACACGATTAGAGTCTAAATATAGTTGGGAAAAATGAGCTATTAGTAAAAAGAGATTGTGAAAATATGTAGTCAAGGTAGTGACTATTTGTAGTAGAAGATTAAGGAGACAGCAACTATTAGGGCTGGTTTTTAACATTATTTGTATGTGTTTTAGTGTGTCTATCAGAAATTACCTTTCAAAACTTATTTTAATGACACGTTCTTGCTGCCCTCAATGTATATTCCTACCTGGTGTTGTTGGTGTTGTTGGTGTTGTTGGTGGTGTTGCCTATCAATGATGAGGAGGAAGCGATGGCGTGAGGATACTTTTCATACAGACTCAGCAGACCACCGACTTTCTGGAAACCTGAAGTAAAAGACAAAGAACTCTGTGTAGTGTTCTAGTGGTACCGTTAAACCTACTTGCAGAGTAACTTGCATGCAAATCGAATTATTAAAATTAACAAACAAAACTTTTCCCCTAGTTATTTTCCACTTATATTAACTTAATTCCTACTCTTAGACCCCCAAGTCTATCAGAACTTACTAATCCCCATCAAGACGAGGGATCCTATCACCATGATCACTGTCTGGAGTGTGTCCGTGTAGATCACTGCCCTAAGTCCACCTGGAACAAGAGACGATAGACTGTACAAAGCTACACACAGATGCACTTGTTAACATAGCATTTATGGTATATTTATGATAAATTTTGGATATATTTATGATATACTAGCGAGTACCCGGCATGCGTTGCAATGCCACTCACAGAAAGAAAGTGTTTGAATGTTAATTATGTTTCTTCAAGAGCTTTTAAATACTCAAAGTTTTTCTTGTTTTTCCATCTGGTATATACACGAATAAATCAGAAGATTTTCCGACGCGAGAGCAGGCCACATACATCTGTCCATGGGCGAAGCATGGGTTTTCCAAATTTAGTCCGCAAACTTGTAGCGATTGTCCCTGTGCTTTGTAGATAGTCATTGTAGACGCGTGTCGCATCGGAAACTGTAGGCGTTTGAATTCAAATGGCATATCTGTTGGAATCATTGGGGTGAATGGCAAAAGTACATCACCTAGTTTAAATTTTCCATTTAAAATAGTAACTTCAATGGAACCAATTTCGGAAGATTCATTTGAAAAAATATGAATAGTATTTCATGGCACTGTCTTTCTTATTCGAATTTCTCAATTTGATGTCAAAATGATATCCATCTTCTCCTTGCCAAAATAAAATAGGATATTGCGATCAAACGTATGAGCGATGAGTTTCTGAGACTCGCTGAACATCAACACTTCTGCGATGAAGAATTATATCACTTGAGTTAAATTCTTTGCCAACTATAATGATCGCCACTTCATCAATTGTTGGTGCATTGTATTGTCTTTCATGTTGGCCGACAGGTCTGCTCTAACTATGACTTTGTATTCATCAGTCGGCATCTTTTCAAGTGCAACTCTATACATTTGAATTAATTCGTTGTGTTGCAAAAATAACGTTTGCATTGCAGCGACAATTTCTCGTTTAGTGACCGTATTGATATGACAACGCTGATCGATTTGCTCATCAGTATTCCCCATGATATCATTTGAAGACATTTGTGATCTGTCTTTGGCATTGGCATCAGAGATCCTACACGATGGTAAATTTAGCCTTTCACTTTACTTTAAATGTTGGCATGTAATTCTCGCGCACGATATTTGTTGCACCGAACGATGTCATTTGGAAACATGAATTGCATTTGCGTATGTTTGCCAAGAAATGTTTCGATTGGCTATTGTCACCTGATACCAACAATGATAATGGTTTTGATGGTGAATGTAATTCTCACACGTTAGGATCTCCCATCTTTTTACATGAAAACCTCGCACAATAGGTACGTTCATTGTTGGCAGGAGATTTCCAGTTGTATAGTTTCTCATTAATTTATAAATCGTAAATTCCAGAGGTAAAAAATGACCATAGTTCAATATCTACGCTGTCAAGTGTGTTATTTAATTACTTGAGAAACCATCGATTGGTGTAAAATGTATTTACATAACACAAAACAACTCCGAAATTATAAGACTCTATTCAAGAAATACTCTTAGTTGAAAAAAAAAACGCGATTTCGATGTCATTTCCGATTCTAAAATGCGTCACAAAATTCAAGCTTATTTATACACATAACAAAAATACTCTCTACACTAAAAATGTAAAAACGTGTTTTCTCTGCTTTACTACAAATGTGTCATTTGTTCAAGGGCGGTAGTGTTGATATCTTCGTTATAAATTATATTGATGAAGCTCATTTAAGAAAATAAATTGAATTTAGGGTCCCCAGCCCTAATTGGAATATTGTACAATGGATGTACTAAATTTGAAAAATTTGCCGGTGGATTCAGCTACTTCCACACATGCAATAGCTTTGTTCGAAATTATAGTTACAAAGCTCTTAGAAGAAAATATGAAATTAGGGTCACTGGCCGAAACGGAATATTGTAAAATGTTTTTTTCTAATTTAGAAACATTTTCGGTAGTGCGCATTTCACTTGACCCAGTTTGATCACAATCGAATGAATGGTATAGAAATGCATACTATAATTATATAGATAATAGAAGTGTGGAAAACGAATTTAGGACCCCCCTCCACAAATGGAATATTGTAGAATTGTTGTATTACTTCAGAAACCTACTTAATATGTCACACAATCAATTTAATATCACTATTTGTATTTGATTAAAAAGCTACCCATTCATGCTTTAGCTCTGTTTGAAATTATAGTTGTATAGCTTAAAATTATAGTTGTATAGCTTATATAGAAAAAACGAACATAGGACCCCTGGCTAAAAACGGAGTATTTTAAAATGGTTGTAATCATTTAAGAAACCTTTGCGGGCGGGCGCGCGCACAACATCTCTCTAAAATTTTATCGCATTGTAATAATGTAGAGGAGCGCATACGGAAATTATTTTTCTAAAGCTCCTAATGTAAGGAAAAAACACGAATTTGGGGCGATTACCAAAAAAAAAACCGGAATATTTTAGTAGAGTTATAATGGCTTAGAAAAATGCTCTGGCTTATGGACAACAACTCACCTCAGTTTTATCGCGAGCGCTTGAATGATGTAGGAGCGCATGCGGTTTGAAATTATATTTATATAGCTAATTTTGTAAGAAACAAACATTGGGCCCCTGGCTCAACACTAAATATTTTAAAACGGTTGTAGTAATTTAAGAACCTTTGTGGGCGATAGAACAACATCTCACTAAATTTTTATCTGAATTTCTGAAAAATGGTATAGGAAAATTATTTTTTACAAAGCGCATATAAGAAAAAATAAGAATTTGGGTCAACGGCCCAAAACGGAATATTTTAAAAGTGTTGTAATGAATGCTTATGTTTATAGATAACAACTCGTCAAAGTTTTGTCGCAATCGCGTGAATGGTGCAGGAGCGCATACGGTTTGAATTTATATTTATATAGCTCGTATAAGACAAAAACGTAAATAAGGCCACTGGCTAAAATTGGAATATTTTGAAAAGTTTATAATAATTTCAAAACCTCTGCGGCCGTGCTTCAACATCTCTCCAAAGTTTTACGTTTTATTGCAATCGGATAAATGACGTAGGAGCGCATATGAAAATTATTTTTTACAAAGCTCATATAAGAAAAAATACGAATTAAGGGCCAACTGCCGAAAACAGAATGTTTTTAAAAGTGTTTAAATAACACAGTAAATTGAACTGGCGCATGGACAACAACTCACTAAGTTTTGTAGCAATCGCTTGATTGGTGTAGGAGCGCATACGGTTTGAAAATATATTTATATAGCTCATATTAGGAAAAACGAATGTGAGTCCCCTGGCTCAAAACTGAATACTTTAAAACGGTTGTAATAATTTAGAAACCTTTATAGAAAAGCTTGCAACATCTCACCAAAGTTTTAGTATAATCGGATAAATGGCGTAGGAGCGCATATGAAAATTATTTTTTACAAAGCTCATATATATGTAAAAATACGAACTAAGGGCCAACGGCCGAAAACGGAATATTTTTAAAAGTGTTTAAATAACACAGTAAAATGCATTTGCGCATGGACAACAACTCACCAAGTTGTGTAGCAATCGTATGAATGGTGTAGGAGCGCATACGGTTTGAAAATATATTTATATGGCTCATATAAGGAAAAACGAATATGAGGGCCCTGGCTCAAAAATGAATACTTTAAAACGGTTGTAATAATTTAGAAACCTTTATAAAAAAGCTTGCAACACGTCACCAAGATTTTATCGGAATCGGATAAATGGCGTAGGAGCGCATATGAAAATTATTTTTTACAAAGCTCATATAAGAAAAAATACGAATTAAGGGCCAACGGCCGAAAACAGAATGTTTTTAAAAGTGTTTAAATAAAACAGTAAAATGCACTGGCGTATGGACAACAACTCATTAAGTTTTGTAGCAATCGCATGATTGGTGTAGGAGCGCATACGGTTTGAAAATATATTTATATAGCTCATATTAGGAAAAACGAATGTGAGGCCCCTGGCTCAAAATTGAATAATTTAAAACGATTGTAATAATTTAGAAATGTTTATAGACATGCTCGCAACATTTCACCAAAGTTTTATATGAATCGAATAAATGGCGTAGGAGCACATGTGGAAAATATTTTACAAAGCTCATATAAGAAAAAAAAAGGAATTAAGGGCCAACGGCTAGGAACAAAACAATTTATAAGGTTTTTAATGATTCAGTTAAATGGCCGGTTATGTGAAAAACAACTATTTAAAGTTTTGTCGCAATCGCATGAATGGTGTAGGAGCGCATACGAGACATACAGACAGACAGACATACAAACATTCATTTTTATATATATAGATTCATGTTATATTTATGGTTTATGTATGATATATTTATGGTATATTTATGGTATACTTCTGAAATATTCATGGTATATTTATGATATATTCATGTTATATCTATGATATATTTATGGTATATTTATGACATATTTATAATATATTTATGATATATTTATGGTATAATTATGATATATTTATAGTATAAGTATGATATATTTATGGTATAGTTATAGTATTTTATGGTATTTTTATGATAAATATTGGGTACATTTAAGATATATTCATGTTACATTTATGGTTTATGTATGATTAAATGTACCGTTAATATACCATGTATATATCATAAATATACCATGAATATTTCATAAGTATACCATAATATACCATAAATATTTGCTTATTTATGGTATATTTATGGTATATTTATGGTATATTTATGGTATATTTATGGTATATTTATGGTATATTTATGGTATATTTATGGTATATTTATGGTATATTTATGGACTATTTATGGTATATATCCCCAAAGAAAGAGTAAACAAACAGTTGGAAGATGGAAAATATTTTGAATTTCAAATCCTCGTCAAATAACACGTATGACCACGTGTAAATGACCAACCTGACGTTGTAAAAATGACTACCTAGGCACCGTGTAAATGACCAACTTGACCACGTAAAAATGACCACCTAGGCACCGTGTAAATGACCAACCTGATAATGACAAACCTGAAACTGTGTAAATGACCAGCCTGACCTCGTGTAAATGAACAATCTGGCACCGTGTAAATGACCAACCTGACACAATGTAAATGAAAAACCTGACACCGTGTAAATGACCAACCTGACACCATGTGAGTGACCAACCTGATCTCGTGTAAATGACCAACTTGACGCCGTGTAAATGACCACCAACCTGACACGTGTAAATGACCAACCTGACACCGTGTAAATGACCAACCTGACACAGTGTAAATGACCAACCTGACATCATGTAAATGACCACCAACCTGGCACCGTGTAAATGACCAACCTGACACCGTGTAAATGACCACCAACCTGACACCGTGTAAATGACCAACCTGACACCGTGTAAATAACCACCAACCTGACACTGTGTAAATGACCACCAACCTGACACCGTGTAAATGACCAACCTGAAACCATGTCAATGACCAACCTGACACCATGTAAATGACCAACCTGACACTGTGTAGATAGCCGTGACCACCAAAAGGACCACTATGGACACATACATGTCCCATTGCACAGCCTGCTGTATAAAGATGGCTCCTGCGTAGATGTCTGCCTGCCAAGAATACAATAATATTGAACACTCTTTGAACTCAATGCTTGTGTCCGTGAAGCTCTATCTCTGGGTGTCACTTCAAGTTATAATGGCAGACACTGAAAAGACTTCAGTTAGAAATTAATATAAGCGTACAGAAACTTATGGTCCAAGAAACAAGGAGAATTGTTTCAATGATATTACTGTCAACTTACTGAGCAAGAGGAATTGCTTCTATTAGATCCTGTGAACTTACATTAAATTATGGTCAAAGAAACAATAGGAATTGCTTTAGTTCTATTACTGTCAACTTACAGAAACAAGGAGAATTGCTTCAATTATGTTACTGTTAACTTACAGCACCTTATGGTCAAAGAAACGAGGAGAAAGGAGAATTGTTTCAGTTGCATTACTGTCAACATACCGAGATTTTTGTGAAGACGTAGATGACCAGAGACAACACCGCCATGTACAGCTGGAGACGCTGACCACCGAATCGTCGCATCAAATATTCTGGCATCGTGTACACCTTAAGGTCAAGGTCGGGACACATTCAAGGTCAATTAACTAAGATAGCATTAGTTAACACAACTGCTTGAAAGTAGATTTATAAAAAAATCAATTTTTATTATTAAAGCTCATGATTTGAATTATATTCTTTCCCCCGTTTGTTACAGATTGTTGAAATCTGAAGACAAGCTTTGAGCCTCTATATGTCAACAACAAGCAGTTGTGTCATAGTAATTTTAAACTATATAAACTGAATAGCTTATAAAGTGTAAAGGGAAATTTTAATATATACAATGTGTATTCAATTTCCTAAAGATTTTTTTCTATATCGAAATATACTATATTGTAAAATTTAGCTCAATGTGAAGTGAAAGTTAACTGTTTGATAACCACCATAGCAGACCACGACATCTTTGTCCAACTGTTTGATAACCACCGTAGCAGACCAAGACATCTTTGTTTAACGGTTTGATAACCACCATCGAATAAGTACTTACCCCACTCGCGATGTAAACTGGAACAAAGAGCCAGCCAAGGAGTAGAAGACAAAACAGACCCTGAAAGTATAGAGTCAAGCACGCGTCAGTGTAATGACAGGCTCTTCTCATGTCAGACATGTCATTTAATGTCAAGCACCAGTGTAATGAGTCAGGCTCTTCTCGTGTCAGACATGTCATTTAGTGTCAAGCACCAGTGAAATGACAGGCTCTTCTCATGTTAGACATGTCATTTAGTGTCAAGCACCAGGATAAGTACAGGCTCTTCTCATTTCAGACATGTCATTTAGTGTCAAGCACCAGGGTAATGACAGGCTCTTCTCATGTCAGACTTGAGGTTTCCTTGCAGTCCTTGTCTTCATGTTGTGACCTGACCTTTTACCGGCATTTTTATTCATTGACTTATGGCGATTGATTTTTAGTTGGTTTGGGAAGTCCCATTTACTGTACTACTAGTTCCCACAATGCTACATTCAAGTGCCTTTACTAAAAGTTCCCACAATGCTACATTCAAGTGCCTTTACTAAAAGTTCCCACAATGCTACATTCAAGTGCCTTTACTAAAAGTTCCCACAATGCTACATTGTAATGCCTGTACTACTAGTTCCCACAATGCTACATTCAAGCGCCTTTACTAAAAGTTCCCACAATGCTACATTGTAATGCCTGTACTACTAGTTCCCACAATGCTACATTCAAGTGCCTTTACTACAAGTTCCCACAATGCTACATTCAAGTGCCTTTACTACAAGTTCCCACAATGCTACATTCAAGTGCCTTTACTACAAGTTCCCACAATGCTACATTCAAGTGTCTTTACTAAAAGTTCCCACAATGCTACATTGTAATGCCTGTACTACTAGTTCCCACAATGCTACATTCAAGTGCCTTTACTACAAGTTCCCACAATGCTACATTGTAATGCCTGTACTACTAGTTCACACAATGTTACATTATACTGCCTGCACTGCTAGTTCGTACAGTGCTACATTGTACTGCCTGTACTACAAGTTCCTACAACGTTTCATTGTACTGCCTGTAATGCTAGTTTGTACATGGCTACACTGCACTGCTAGCTCGTACAGTGCTACACTGTACTGGCTGTACTGCTATTTCGTACAATGCTTCACTGTACCACCTGTACTTATAGTTCATGCACTACTACATTGTAGTGCCTGTACTTCTAGCTCGTGCAATGCTACAGAGCTGCTATGATGTACACGTCTATTTTACTACTCTAATTTCTCCAACTTTTGATATATAGATCATCGTTTTACCTTTTCCGAATTATGGACTAATTAAAATTTAAAAAGTTAATTTACCTCCACCTGCTCACATGAACAATTATTACTCCCATTAAGCTCTTGGTTTGCTACAGCTATAGTTGTATTACTCCCATTAAGCTCTTGGCTTGCTACAGCTACAGTTGTATTACTCACATTAAGCTCTTGGCTTGCTACAGCTATAGTTGTATTACTCCCATTAAACTCTTGGCTTGCTACAGCTTTAGTTGTATTACTCCCATTAAGTTTTTGGCTTGCTACAGCTATAGTTGTATTACTCACGTTAAGTTCATAGCTGGCTACAGCTATACCATTAGCTGCCCCTGTACCAGCTAGACCAACAAAGCTGCCACTACCGATGTTGCTGGAGAAGAGGGATGCTCCGACCTGGGCGAAAGACATCAATGATAAGAGAGGCAGAGGAAGCCAGGCAGGTATGAAAGATACACGAGATGAGACACGAAAAGAGGCAAAGAGAAAATAATTCATACAGAGAGTAATTGTGAGAGAATCATAGAGATGGTCACGGAGAGAGTCCTTGAGAGGGCCATAGAGATAGTCAAGGAGCTATCTCTAAAAAAATTCCCTCATACAAGTTTAAATGCACTAAAATTAAGAAAATAATTTAAAATTTCTTAAAATGCATTACGCAAAGAATGCATGTAAACAACAAGACATCACGTGTCCACAACGATACCCCTATGCGTACACAACATGTATTTTACACCTGGGCAACATGTTAACACAAAAAGACAGGTCCACGTACACATGACATCATGTAAACAATAACACAGAAGGTAATAATAGGATAGGATGTAAATAGCAATACACCATGTGTACACAAAACATCATGTGTACGCAACAAGACAGTATGTGTACACAAGACATCGTGTTTACACTTGAAGCATGTCAGAGGCGTAGCTGGAGTGTTTGGAACCTGGGGAGAATAATAATTGTTACGCTCTTTCGCCCTCCGCGCCTATTATCTCAAACCACATTTTCATCAATAGTATACCATCAATGCCCATTTGCGCCCCTCCCCAAATAGTCTAGCGTCTCGGGGATTTCTGTCCCCTATGCCCCCCACCAGCTACGCCCCTGGAGCATGTATTACCGCGAACCACATAATGTCCCGCCCGGCCAGGAAGTAACCACTGACGCTTCCTCTCTGTGTCCGCCATGTTGCCTGCAAATGAAAAAAAAAACATTTGTAAATATTTAGATTTCAGCACAGTGTTCTTCTTTCTTACTCTGAGGAGAGAAGTTCCACTGGTACTGTCTTTAAAATTACGACACTCACAAATTAGTTATGGTATTTTATTTAAAAAAATACATTTTCTTTATCTCCATTAAGATTTGATCAAAGCGCTGTTGACTAATTCTGAATTGATATTATACCATACACAAGTCTAAAAATTGTTCTCTGTCAAATTTTTCTCTGCACACTGTGTTGGGGAAATCACATAGCACCAACATGTTGATTACATGATGCGCGTACGTTGATCACACAGCAGCACATAACACCAGTATGTTGATCACAAAACCCTTATTTGTTGATCACAGAGCACCCATACGTTGATCACATAGCACATAAACATTAATCACATAGTGCCACATAGCACCCAATCATTCATCACATAGTACCACATAGAATCCATACTTTGATCAGATAGCACCATATAGAGCCCATACAATGATCACATAGCACCCACATATTAATCACATAGTGCCACATAGCACCCACATATTAATCACATAGTGCCACATAGCACCCACATATTAATCGCATAGGGCCACATAGCACCCACATATTAATCACATAGTGCCATATAGCACCCACATATTAATCATATAGTGCCACATAGCACCAACATATTAATCACATAGTGCCACATAGCACCCACATATTATTCACATAGTGCCACATAGCACCCACATATTGATTACATAGTGCCACATAGCACCCATATATTGATCACATAGTGCCACATAGCACCCACATATTGATCACATATTGCCACATAGCAACCACCTATTGATCACATAGTGCCACATAGCACCCATACATTGATCACATAGTACCACATAGCACCCATACATTGATCACATAACACCACATAGCACCCATACATTGATCACATAGTACCACATAGCACCCATAAATTGATCACATAGTACCACATATCACCCATACATTGATCACATAGTACCACATAGCACCCATATATTGATCACATAGTACCACATAGCACCCATACATTGATCACATAGTACCACATAGCACCCATACATTGATCACATAGTACCACATAGCACCCATACATTGATCACATAATGCCACATATCACCCATAAATTGATCACATAGTACCACATAGCACCCAATCATTGATCAAATAGTACCACATAGAACCTATACATTGATCACAAAGCACCATATAGAGCCCATACATTGATCACATAGCACCACATAGCACCCATGCGTTGATCACTTAGCACCCATGCATTGATCACATAGCACCACATAGCAAAAACATGTTGATGCCGCGAAAAAAATATAAATTATATCTTACAAATATTTATTCTTATATTTCTTATAAACTACTCACCAAGATTCGGACCATAAGACAAATACACACCACTCACCCAGATTCCGACCAGGAGACAAAAGATGAGAAAAATGACAATAACCACGATGTCCGGAGCCTCAAGTCCAGCATTTTTAAAAGCTGTGTTTGACTCGCCAGCTGATTCCATGGTCCAGTTCACATCCAGGGTCCCAAGTCAAATTTTTTTTTAAAAATCCAACGCTAGTACAGTTTTGACATGGCACTTAAATGTCAAAGTAGGGGAAGTAAATCATTAACCTGTCAAAAAAGGTCAGTTTTATAAATATATCGTTTGCCTTTTAAAGCTGTATTGATTAACTCGATGTAATTTTAATTGCGGCAACATATTTCTTTATGTTTTGCTCATTGTTTTGATAAATTTTAGACTTTTTATACCCCCCCCCCGCCCCCCTACCCATTTCAGACTCCATTGTTAATTTATTTTATTCTTTCATTCCCTAAAATTAGCTGAATTTTTAGGTCTAAAAGGCTATTTCATACGGCACTATGTGAACGTCTGCGGAGACATTCAAACCCGCTCCTAGTTAAGAAGCAGTCGAATTACTTATGGGCCACAAGGTCGCCTAGCAAATCAAACGTTTTTTTTTACAAAAATGTATTATAACTAACAAAGGCATGGCTAGGATTAGTGCCCCTAGAATGAGCTGTATACCCCTGGACTGAGCTGTATACTCCTAGAATGACCTGTATACTCCTTGACTGAGCTGTATACTCCTAGAATGACCTGTATACTCCTTGACTGAGATATATACCTCTAGACTGACCTGTATACTCCTAGACTGAGCTGTATACCCCTAGACTGAACTGTATACCTCTAGACTGAGCTGCATACCCCTAGACTGAGCTGTATACTCCTAGAATGACCTGTATACTCCTAGACAGACCTGTATACCCCCAGACTGAGCTGTATACTCCTAGACTGGCCTGTATACTCCTTGACTGAGATATATACCTCTAGACTGACCTGTATACTCCTAGACTGACCTGTATACTCCTAGACTGAGCTGTATACCTCTAGACTGACCTGTATACCCCTAGACTGAGCTGTATACCTCTAGACTGAGCTGCATACCTCTAGACTGAGCTGTATACCTCTAGACTGAGCTGTATGCCTCTAGACTGAGCTGTATATCTCTAGACTGAGCTGTATACCTCTAGACTGAGCTGTATACCTCTAGACTGAGCTGTATACCCCTAGGCCCTAGACTGAACTGTATCCTTAGATTGAGTTGTATACCTCTAGACTGACCTGTATACTCCTAGACTGAGCTGTATACCTCTAGACTGAGCTGTATACCTCTAGATCGAGCTGTATACCTCTAGACTGAGCTGTATGCCTCTAGACTGAGCTGTATACCTCTATACTGAGCTATATACCTCTAGACTGAGCTGTATACCTCTAGACTGAGCTGTATACCTCTAGACTGAGCTGTATACCCCTAGTCCCTAGACTGAACTGTACCCTTAGATTGAGTTGTATACCACTAGACGTATTTTAGATACCCGAGGCCCAGCCCTGTTTCCGCTACTTTGAACAACCTGCTCACCTCCAGACACATTTAACGAACCTCAGAGCCCCATCTTACATTGTCAGTTTACCGATGACTTAGACTCAGAGGCCCATCTTACATTGTCAGTTCACCGATGACTCTTCTGGTCGTAGCAAAGAGTCGTGCGATAAGCTCCACTAATATATTTAGGGATAGCGTGCGCCCTGTATGCCGAGTCATGAAACCAGGTAACCCTAGGCCCCAGACGGCCAACGGTGGCACAGCGGGGACTTTTGTCTTGACTAATCAATTACCTTGGTACACGGGAACAATGTCCACTTAAGGACCCCCACCGGGGGCGGTACAAGGCGATGTTGTATTCGATTATATATGGTGGTGGCAAGTAAAACCTGCCAACTCTTCAAGTCTTTAAACTGTGTTCAATGAGCAAGAGGGAATGAACACTTTGGCACTCACATGAGAATTAGGTTGTCAGCTTATTTATTTCTAGGGGTGTTTGGGGAGTCGGGGCGCCATTGTGAGTGTCTATATATGTACTTTAATTCCCGTCCTGGCCACTGCCCGCGACAAGGGCACCCAAAGTCTGTACAGACTGAAAGTGAAATAGTTGCCTCACTCATTTGGGTAGTTCCGTCCCTGTCAATGACATCAGGCCAATCAAATTATTTGGTTACTTGGCTAAATTAAAATTTAATTTAAACAAAAAAAATATGTATAATCCCATTGTGATTTTCATAGTAACATACCAGTTTTTGTTTTCCAGAAATGGATTTATATTTTTAATATAGGGACTACTTTTTTACAATGTATAATTACATCTCCATCTACCTTTTTAAGAAATTTTTAATTAAAAATTATTTTGCCAGGGTGTTGCGTTCAGTCATGTTTATTCGTATGTTGCCAAGGTAACACTTTTAATCATGCTTATCGCCCTTAATGATTAGCATAACACGTGGTCTTTTTTAAACGCTTAAATCACTTTTGTAGCTAACCCAGAAACTTGACTTAGATCGCGCTCTTTCATGAGCGCAAATTATACATTTTAATTGTCATGAAATAATTAATTCTTAATTGGGTAAATGAAGCATTTTAAAAATGTGTTTTATACTTCTTGTAACTATTGGCTGTAATGTGTCATAAGTGTCGGTAATTGTGAAGGATTTGTGAAATTTTATTTTGATCGACGTGTTCCCGATATGGTCTATGGTGGAAGAAACGCCTTTTAGGCCATGGGAAATGCCTGGATCCGGAGAGCCACTTCCTAATTTTTCCTCACATGAGCCATACATATATTCCAAAAAAAAATAAAATAATTATAATAATAATTTTGCGCAGCGGCTGGGACGGTCAGGAATGTTTCATGTCAGTTTCTATAGGTGCACAAAAATGAATGTCATTGGTGTGTGCGGTGCGTAGGATAACTTTGCTCATCACATGAGAACAGTGTGTTGAGTGTTTCGCAGCACTCTAATAGAATATATACTGTATAAATAAATCATAAAACACTTCTCTTGAAACTACTTAGAGTAAATGCCGCCAAAGGAAACGTCTCTGCTATTATTTTGGCGCAGTGCTTTCTAATGAAATATGAATGATATAATTCTATGAAGAAAAAAAATGCCTACCTCACAAATGCAGTACAATTTTCTCTCTGCCGCCAAAAATCACACGACACCGCCTAAGTTAAGGTTCGTCCAATTTTCCCCAACCACCGCGTTCAATGCCTAAATAAAATTCAGTTTTCCCATCCACGTTTGTGTTAATAACCCACTTTTGCACAGGATTCCCCGGTCGGCGGTGTCCAAGCTTTTGGTGGCAGGGGTCACGGCTGTTCTGTGTATGTGTGTGTGTGTTGGGGGGGGGGAGGGCTAGTTCGTACGTGGCATACTAAAAAATTCCTCAAGTTAGGTAGGTACCTACTAACAAAAGAGTAGTTGAGGAGTGAAAAATGTTGGTTATCACAGAACATGACGTCATATTATTTCAGAGTCGGCTGCTCTCCATGTTATCTTATTTTTGTTTTTAAAAGACAATTAAAATGAATATATTGATATTTCCTTACAATATAAAGTTTGTAATCCCCAAACATCACTCTCATATAATTTCAATGCTAGGACGTATCTGTTGGTTGCTCTTGAAATTATTTTTTCTCCACCCAAACAAAGATATCCAAGTATCTCAAGAAACATCATTTTTTCATTGTTTTATTCAGTCATTTGTTGTGCTGTGCTGTATTCAGCACCCTAGGCCTACATTTGTTGTGCTATGCTGGAGTCAGCACCCTAGGCCTACATTTGTTGTACTGTGCTGTATTCAGCACCCTAGGCCCACATTTGTTGTGCTGTGCTGGAGTCAGCATCCTAGGCTTACATTTGTTGTGCTGTGCTGGAGTCAGCACCCTAGGCCTACATTTGTTGTGCTGTGCTGGAGTCAGAACCCTAGGCCTACATTTGTTGTGCTGTGCTGGAGTCAGCACCCTAGGCCTACATTTGTT